TCACTTTATTGTACATATATATCCTGCATGTAACATGTTGCACATTTCCTCCTTTTGCACAATCTGAGTGTTCTCTCCATGCCAAATGTGACATGTACATTTCTCCTGTGAGATAAATAAAGCACATCTTATCTTATCTTAGACCCAGGACTGAGGCTGGAGACCAGGACTGAGGCTGGAGGACTGAGGCTGTAGACCCAGGACTGAGGCTGTGGTTTGTGAGTCTGCAGAGGAATGTAGGTTCGGGCTTTGACCTCAGACCTGAGCCGTTAATCTGGGTTTAAATCCTCAAAATGTCTCGTCTGCTTCCTGTTTGTGTCGGAGGAGATTCACACAAAACTGCAAAGAGACAAGAACTGTTCTCTCTTCTCCATGTTCCTCCCACAGAACGGACTCCAGGGGAGGACTGACAGAGTGTGACATCACCACAGTGTGACATCACCACAGTGTGACATCACCACAGTGTGACATCACCACAGTGTGACATCACCAGATTTGAACATAAGCTGGAGCCAGTTTCCTTATATGGGCATTTGTTCTGACGGGTGCATACAACATTAAATGAAAGCAGGTTAGCACTAAGCTATCGGGTTAGCATTAAGGTAATGGGTTAGTATTGAGCTAGAGCATTAGCATTGAGCTAGCAGGATAGCCCTGAGCTAGCAGTCTGAACCTGTTCTTCAGCTTCAGAGACAGATGTAAAACTAATGTATTCAGAGTAAATGTGTGGCCTGCAGCAGTGACAGAGACAGACTCAGCCACCGGCGACTTTTACTGATCTAAAGATTCTGTGTTTCTAAAGCTGGGGTCTGTAACTTTAAAGCTGGGGTCTGTGACTTTAAAGCTGGGGTCTGTGACTTTAAAGCTGGGGTCTGTAACATTAAAGCTGGGGTGTGTAACATTAAAGCTGAGGTCTGTAACTTTAAAGCTGAGGTCTGTAACTTTAAAGCTGGGGTGTGTAACATTAAAGCTGAGGTCTGTAACTTTAAAGCTGGGGTCTGTAAGTTTAAAGCTGAGGTCTGTAACTTTAAAGCTGGGGTCTGTAACTTTAAAGCTGAGGTCTGTAACTTTAAAGCTGAGGTCTGTAACTTTAAAGCTGGGGTCTGTAACATTAAAGCTGAGGTGTGTAACATTAAAGCTGAGGTCTGTAACTTTAAAGCTGAGGTCTGTAACTTTAAAGCTGGGGTCTGTAACTTTAAAGCTGGGTCTGTAACTTTAAAGCTGGGGTCTGTAACTTTAAAGCTGGGTCTGTAACTTTAAAGCTGAGGTCTGTAACTTTAAAGCTGAGGTCTGTAACTTTAAAGCTGGGGTCTGTAACTTTAAAGCTGAGGTCTGTAACTTTAAAGCTGGGGTCTGTAACATTAAAGCTGGGGTCTGTAACATTAAAGCTGGGGTCTGTAAAATTTCAGCCAATCAGCTCTCAACCAATCAGCTGTCAGCCAAAGTTGTCTCCAAGATTTCTGAGAGAGAATCAGAATCAATATATTTGCCATTTGCAGAAAAAACTGCATTGGAATACAAACAGGAGACACCGGGGGCACCGACACAACAAAGCACACACACAGAATAAGAAAATGAAAATAGCGAGACACAGTGAGGCAAATATAAAACTCTTAAAAGCATTATTAAGACGCTACAAAGGAGCTCCAAGAGAAGCAGATCTCAGGGCGCTCTGTTCAGTCTTATAACCACCTGAGGGAGGAAGCTATTGGCATGGCGGGAGGTCCTGCGCCGCACGGACCGGAATCTTCTCCCCCGAGGGAAGAGGCTGGAACAAGGCCGCTCCAGGATGACCAGAGTCTGCTCTCAGACAGAGCCTCCAGAACAGGCATCTCACGGTTCACAGTCCTCCGAGCAGAACCACTCTGTTCAGGGCTCTCTTTTCTTTGGCTGTGATGAACCACACGGTGATCACACCAGCATCAGGCTTTCTATGGTGCAGCGGTAAAAGTTTAGCAAAATCTTAGAGTTATTTGTAAATTCTCTAAGTTTGCGCAGAAAGTATAGACGGTGAGAACAAAGAGAGTAACCATAGAAACCAAAGAGAGACCAGAGAGAGACCAAAGAGAGACCAAAGAGAGACCAGAGAGAGACCAAAGAGAGACCAAAGAGAGACCAGAGAGAGACCAAAGAAAGACCAAAGAGAGACCAGAGAGAGACCAGAGAGAGACCAAAGAGAGACCAGAGAGGGACCAAAGAGAGACCAGAGAGAGACCAAAGAGAGACCAGAGGGAGACCAGAGCGAGACCAAAGAGACCAAAGAGAGACCAAAGAGAGACCAAAGAGAGACCAGAGAGAGACCAGAGAGAGACCAGAGAGAGTTCAAAGAGAGACCAAAGAGAGACCAGAGAGGGACCAAGGAGAGACCAGAGAAAGACAAGAGAGAGAGACCAGAGACCGGAGAGCGAGAGAGACTAGAGAAAGTTTTCGAACAAGTTGGCTGTACTTAAAGGTGCTTTCACACCACAGACACTGGAATGCTGAAGCCTCACGCACCAGACGCACATTCTCTAATTTTCAGACGCAGTGGTGTTCACACCAGAAGTTCTGCTGCTGTGGCGCCCGCCTGAAGTGGCAGAAGTAGCGGGCGGACTTTGATGCTAACAGAGTTAAGCTAGCGGCTTTTTGTGTAAAGTTCTTCTCCAATAATGCAGCTCTGCAGCATCTCTGTGTCTGAGACCTTCACAGACTTTATATAACAGTAGTACGTGTTCACGGAGGTGACTTTATATAACAGTAGTATGTGTTCACAGTGACTTTATATAACAGTAGTATGTGTTCACGGAGGTGACTTTATATAACAGCAGTACGTGTTCACGGAGGTGACTTTATATAACAGTAGTATGTGTTCACAGTGACTTTATATAACAGTAGTATGTGTTCACGGAGGTGACTTTATATAACAGTAGTATGTGTTCACAGTGACTTTATATAACAGTAGTATGTGTTCACGGAGGTGACTTTATATAACAGTAGTATGTGTTCACGGAGGTGACTTTATATAACAGCAGTATGTGTTCATGGAGGTGACTTTATATAACAGTAGTATGTGTTCACGGAGGTGACTTTATATAACAGCAGTATGTGTTCACGGAGGTGACTTTATATAACAGCAGTATGTGTTCATGGAGGTGACTTTATATAACAGTAGTATGTGTTCACAGTGACTTTATATAACAGTAGTATGTGTTCACGGAGGTGACTTTATATAACAGTAGTATGTGTTCACGGAGGTGACTTTATATAACAGTAGTACGTGTTCACGGAGGTGACTTTATATAACAGCAGTATGTGTTCACGGAGGTGACTTTATATAACAGTAGTATGTGTTCACGGAGGTGACTTTATATAACAGCAGGATGTGTTCATGGAGGTGACTTTATATAACAGTAGTATGTGTTCACAGTGACTTTATATAACAGTAGTATGTGTTCACGGAGGTGACTTTATATAACAGTAGTATGTGTTCACGGAGGTGACTTTATATAAGAGTAGTATGTGTTCACGGTGACTTTATATAACAGCAGTATGTGTTCATGGAGGTGACTTTATATAACAGCAGTATATGTTCACGGTGACTTTATATAACAGCAGTATGTGTTCACTGTGACTTTATATAACAGTAGTATGTGTTCACTGTGACTTTATATAACAGTAGTATGTGTTCATGGAGGTGACTTTATATAACAGCAGTATGTGTTCACGGAGGTGACTTTATATAACAGCAGTATGTGTTCACGGAGGTGACTTTATATAACAGCAGTATGTGTTCGCAGTGACTTTATATAACAGCAGGATGTGTTCACGGAGGTGACTTTATATAACAGTAGTATGTGTTCACGGTGACTTTATATAACAGCAGTATGTGTTCATGGAGGTGACTTTATATAACAGCAGTATGTGTTCATGGAGGTGACTTTATATAACAGCAGTATATGTTCACGGTGACTTTATATAACAGCAGTATGTGTTCACGGAGGTGACTTTATATAACAGTAGTATGTGTTCACGGAGGTGACTTTATATAACAGCAGTATGTGTTCACGGTGACTTTATATAACAGCAGTATGTGTTCACGGTGACTTTATATAACAGCAGTATGTGTTCACGGAGGTGACTTTATATAACAGTAGTATGTGTTCACGGAGGTGACTTTATATAACAGTAGTATGTGTTCACGGAGGTGACTTTATATAACAGTAGTATGTGTTCACGGAGGTGACTTTATATAACAGCAGTATGTGTTCACAGTGATTTTATATAACAGTAGTATGTGTTCACGGAGGTGCGCCATACGGAACTTCCGCATCAAGAACACGCTCAAAGCAGTTGCATAAAGTCACGGGAGCATGAGAACTCACATGTTAACAAGCACTGTGTCCCTCATTGTCAACCCTGGTTTAGCCCTGGTTTAGTCCTGGTTTAGTTCTGGTTTAGTCCTGGTTTAGTCCTGGTTTAGTCCTGGTTTAGTCCTGGTTTAGTCCTGGTTTAGTCCTGGTATAGTCCTGGTTTAGTCCTGGTTTAGTCCTGGTTTAGTCCTGGTTTAGTCCTGGTATAGCTCCTGTTTTGGCTGTTTACAGTATGTTCAGTCCCCGTGACCACTTTGCGGCTCTCAAAGGTTCAGCAATATTTATCTCCTGCGTGCGTTGATTTTCCTGCATCCCGAGACGCACATGTGTTTTCACGCTCGAATGCGCGTCACCATTGACTTTGCATTGAAAGTTGACGCAACGCATGATCCGGTCTGAACGGCAATGACAGGAGGAAGAGGGCGCCCCCTGTGGTCTGAACGGCAATGACAGGAGGAAGAGGGCGCCCCCTGTGGTCTGAACGGCAATGACAGGAGGAAGAGGGCGCCCCCTGTGGTCTGAACGGCAATGACAGGAGGAAGAGGGCGCCCCCTGTGGTCTGAACGGCAATGACAGAAGGAAGAGGGCGCCCCCTGTGGTCTGAACGGCAATGACAGGAGGAAGAGGGCGCCCCCTGTGGTCTGAACGGCAATGACAGGAGGAAGAGGGCGCCCCTTGTGGACTCCTTGTGGAACGTTCCAAGGAGTCACTTTTCTGAAGGAGGAAACAGGAAGTGTTCTGTGCGGAGAACATGACGTCGACATGAGCCTGGACTCCTGCCGCTGGTTCTGTTCTTGTTTGTTTTTATTGTTTTAAGTCACAGATACAGAGCCTCGTGTTTAGCATCGACAAGCTAACAGCCACAGAGCGCCCTTTTTCATGCTTTTTCTTCCGCTTCACACGTCCCCTGGTCGCAGGGGCAGTAGTCTGAGCAGAGACACAGACTTCCTCCAGCTCATCTGGGGGAATCCTGAGGCGTTCCCAAGACCACGTCTATAATGAATGAATTAAATATTTATTTCAAAACCTGCACACATAAATAATAATCTTTGTTATAATGTTTAGGTTCAGACCTGGTTCAGACCTGGTTCAGACCTGGTTCAGACCTGGTTCAGACGTGGTTCAGACCCGGTTCAGACCTGGTTCAGACCTGGTTCAGACCCGGTTCGGATCTGGTTCAGGCTCAAAAGGAAATAAACGTTTTGGAAGATCGTGTAAAAACTAGAACCAGGAAATATCGGCAGGAAGCAGGAGTACAGCTGAGTCCACACGGTCCTCACGGGGTCGGGTTGAGTCCACACGGTCCTCACGGGGTCGGGTTGAGTCCATACGGTCCTCACGGGGTCGGGTTGAGTCCACACGGTCCTCACGGAGTCGGGTTGAGTCCATACAGTGCTCATCTGTTGTTTGTTCGTGCTCAGATCTGTGACAATGGAGCCTTAAACCTGTCTTGTCTCTGTGTCTCTCTCTGTGTCTCTGTCTCTGTCTCTGTGTCTCTGTCTCTGTGTCTCTCTCTGTGTCTCTCTCTGTGTCTCTCTCTCTCTCTCTGTCTCTCTCTGTCTCTCTGTCTCTGTGTCTTTCTCTGTCTCTCTCTGTCTCTCTGTCTCTGTGTATCTCTGTGTCTCTCTCTGTCTCTGTGTCTCTCTCTGTCTCTCTGTCTCTCTCTCTCTCTCTCTGTGTCTCTCTGTCTCTCTCTCTCTCTCTCTGTGTCTCTCTGTCTGTCTCTGTGCCTCTCTCTGTGGAGCGGCGGTGGTCCTTGCGGAGTGGTTCCTGCGTGGGGTGTCTGCGTGGCTCGGTGGCGGAGGGGCCCTCCGTGTGCACGGAGAGTCTGTTCGTCGCCACCGGTGGGGTCTGCTCCGATGCCGTGGCCGAGCTGGGTGCTGGGGATCGGCGGTGCGCGATTCCTGCAGGTCCGGATGGTTTTCGGGGTTTTCTGGGGAGCGGCGTTGCTGGCGTGTCTGCTCCCGTGGACTCGGACGGCATGGCGGTGGATTTGCTCTTCTCTTCCCAGCTCGACGAGGGTGCTGTGGTGAGCACTGACACACGCAACGCTAACGCCATCAAACGCGTGGTGAATAAAGCGATACGGCTGAACAGGAAGTGGAAAATAGTGCACACTGTAAACAATGCACGGATAATCTGGGATCCGAAGGCCAAACCAAAAGGTTTACTAGGTGGACATCTAAATATTCGCAGTTTAAAATCAAAAAGCAATCAAATAAACCACATGATATCAGAATCGAACCTGGATTATTTTTGCTTATCCGAAACTTGGTTAAATAAAAACTCTCCTACTGTGGCGGTTTCAGTTCCGGGCTATATTACCTACCGAAAAGACAGAGCTGACACCAAGGGGGGCGGAGTGATGATGTATGTGAGAGACAATATACAATGCAATGAGATTCAATGGCAAAACTCAAATGACTTAGAATGCCTAGGGTTAAACATGGCCCTCTCTCCTCAGATGTCCCTGACAATAATTGTTGTATACCGACCACCATCTGCTAGTGCTAATTTTTATGATAAGTTCAAGGACATTTTAAAGCAGTGTGATTTTAAAAAGGAGGTTATTGTGATGGGGGATTTTAACCTGAACTGGATGGACCATAAAACAAGAAAACAAATGTTGCAAATTATGAATGGCTTCAACTTAGTCCAGATGGTGAAGGGACCAACAAGGATCACAAACAACTCTAGCACTCAAATTGATTTGATCTTTTCCAATCATCCAGAACGGATTGTTAAAACATATAACATGCTAACTGGACTATCAGATCATAATATGGTGCTAATATCAAGAAAACTAACTAGACAACGTTTCTCGGCATATTCTGGAAAAAAAGAATTTATAGGTATCCCTAAGAATAAACAAGAAGAGTTCAACTCTGCAATAAGCAACATAAACTGGGGCACTTTGCTATCAAATAATAAACTTGAAATCTCCTGTCAGAAATTTACAGAGTGCTTACGGTCAAAAATAAATGAGTTCACAATTAAGGTTAAATATAAAAGTAAAAAGTCTTCCTTTCCGTGGGTCAATGATATTATACGACAATTAATGAAAGCAAGAGACAATGCTCTTAAAGTTGCTAACAAGTCAAAACTAATTTGTGACCGACAAAAATTCACTACGCTCCGGAATAAGGTGACCAGACAATTGAGGAAAGCAAAGGCAGACTTTTTCATAACTATTATTAATAATTGTCAGGGTAACTCTAAAGCCATCTGGTCACAGATCAATAAACTAACTTGTAAAGCAACCTCTTCTCATAAAACGATACAGCTAAATAATAATGGTAAATTATTACAGAATCCATTGGACGTGGCTCAGCTTCTTAATAATTACTTTGTTGATTCGGTGATGACTATAGCTAAAGGTTTTTCTTTACAAATCCAAAATGTACCCCCCTGTTGTACAGTTGTATCTAATGATACAACTGCTTTAGAGCCTCCGCTATACCCAAGCTCTGTATCTACATCTGATGTGGCAAAAGCAATAACGCTCCTAAAGACATCTAGAGCTAAGGATGCATATGGTCTGGACACGTATATGCTAAAACAAATAAGTCAATCAGTTATCAATCCATTAACACACATCATCAATATGTCAATCAGTGAAGGGATATTCCCGGAATCATGGAAACTTGCACGTGTAATTCCAATACTTAAAAGTGGTAATGCTCAACTGACCTCTAATTACAGGCCAATTAGTATTCTACCTACTGTGTCCAAAGTATATGAAAAGCTGGTTGTCGAGCAAATAGTTGATCATCTTAATAATAGTTCCTCCTCATTGCATCCAATGCAATTTGGATTCAGGTCCAATCATTCAACTGAAACAGCAACTTGTTATTTTCTGGAAAAAGTCAAGTCATCATTAGACAAAGGGGGAATAGTGGGGGCAGTTTTTCTCGATCTGCGGAAAGCATTTGACACAGTCAACCATTCAATTTTATTAGAGAAACTTCAAAATTTTAACTTTTCCACAAAATATATCAATCTTATTAAATCATACCTTTCAGCTCGCACACAAGTCGTACAAATCAACAATCATAATTCCCATCCATTACAATTATCCACTGGAGTGCCTCAAGGCTCAATAATTGGCCCTATTCTTTTTAGCATATACATTAATGATTTACCATCAGTATCCAGGACCTGTAACACCCTTATGAATGCAGATGATACGGTCATTTTTGCACATGGCAAAACAACAGAGGAGGTTGCTTCAAAGCTAACAGAGGCCATGGCGTCGGTCACAACCTGGCTCGAAAAATCCTGCCTTCAACTTAATATATCCAAAACTGTTTGTATGTTCTTCTCAAAAAACACCAGAAATACTATAAACATTATACCAGATATTTCAATAGCAGGACAAAAAATACAAGTAGTCACAGAATTCAAATATCTAGGATTATACATTGATTCAAACCTCAGCTTCAAAACACACATCCAAAACACTAGCAATAAGATTAAATTCTGTTTATCAAATTTTAGGTTCATTAGAGACTGTTTGTCAAATGAAGCTGCCAAAATATACTTCTTTTCCATGGTCCTCTCACATATCACATACTGTATCATAAGTTGGTCAAACGCACACGCCACAACAATCAAACCCATGAAATCATTATATAAACAAGCGCTTAAAACATTGGATAAAAAACCCTACAGATATCACCATTGTCAGGTTTTACAGAAATATAAGTTACTAAATTGGGACAATCTTATAAAATTCAAAAACATTTGTTTAATGTATAAAATTAAAACTGGCTGTGCTCCGCCTTCACTGAGCGAGTTTGTAAACTTCAGATCGAGTGCAGCCAGAGTAACTCGAGGGGCAGTGAGGGAAGACTGCGTCCTCCCCCTCAGAAAAACTGCATTTGGTCAGGCCGTGTTTTCTTATAAAGCCTCCCAGCAGTGGAACTCAGTGCCTGAAACAATTCGCGAGTCTTCCTCATTTAATTCATTTTTAAAAAAAGCCAAAAAGTGGCTTGTGGAGACACAGACTTGTGAGCACTAGTTATATTGAAAATGTATACTTTGCTCATTTCATGTACTATGTATGTATGCAATTATATTGTGTCTTGTAAATTGCTATGTGATTTTAATCTTGCTTTTTCAGGCTGGCTTTGACATCTGCCAAAGGGTCTACCGATGAAAATTAGCTTTTCTGCTAACTCGGGCATATTTACATTGTAAAATGTTGATTAATGTGCACTGTCCCTTTTCAAATAAATAAAATCTAAAAAAAATCTCTGTGTCTCTGTGTGTCTCTCTGTGTCTCTCTCTGTCTCTCTGTCTCTGTGTCTCTCTCTGTCTCTGTGTATCTCTGTGTCTCTCTCTGTCTCTGTGTCTCTGTCTCTGTGTCTCTCTGTGTCTCTGTCTCTGTGTCTCTCTGTGTCTCTGTGTCTCTCTCTGTCTCTGTGTATCTCTGTGTCTCTCTCTGTCTCTGTGTCTCTCTCTGTCTCTGTGTCTCTCTCTGTCTCTGTGTATCTCTGTGTCTCTCTCTGTCTCTGTGTCTCTCTCTGTCTCTGTGTATCTCTGTGTCTCTCTCTGTCTCTGTGTCTCTCTCTGTCTCTGTGTCTCTCTGTGTCTCTCTTTTCTCTCTCTGTGTCTCTGTCTCTGTGTCTCTCTGTCTCTCTGTGTCTCTCTCTCTCTCTCTGTGTCTCTCTGTCTCTCTCTGTGTCTCTCTCTGTCTCTGTGTCTCTCTCTGTGTCTCTGTGTGTCTCTCGGGGGCTCTCTCTGTCTCTCTCTGTCTCTCTGTCTCTCTGTCTCTGTGTCTCTCTCTGTCTCTGTGTGTCTCTGTGTCTCTCTCTGTCTCTGTGTCTCTCTCTGTCTCTGTGTCTCTCTCTGTCTCTGTGTCTCTGTTTCTCTGTGTCTCTCTGTGTCTCTCTGTGTCTCTGTGTCTCTCTGTCTCTCTCTGTCTCTCTCTCTCTGTGTCTCTCTCTGTGTGTCTCTGTGTCTGTCTCTGTGTGTCTCTCTCTCTGTCTCTGTGTCTGTCTCTGTGTGTCTCTGTGTCTGTCTCTGTGTGTCTCTCTCTCTGTCTCTGTGTCTGTGTCTCTGTGTCTGTCTCTGTGTGTCTCTGTCTCTGTGTCTGTGTCTCTGTGTCTGTCTCTGTGTGTCTCTGTGTCTGTGTCTAAATGTCAGATCTGTAAAATCTAATCTGAGCATAAAGAGCTTCTGTCGCTGCAACTTTTATTTATATCACTTTGTTTGTGCTGTTTCCTCCATGTTCCCTCTGTCTGTGAAGCTGGGGTCTGTGACTTTAAAGCTGGGGTCTGTGACTTTAAAGCTGGGGTCTGTGACTTTAAAGCTGGGGTCTGTAACTTTAAAGCTGGGGTCTGTCACTTTAAAGCTGGGGTCTGTAACTTTAAAGCTGGGGTCTGTGACTTTAAAGCTGGGGTCTGTAACTTTAAAGCTGGGGTCTGTAACTTTAAAGCTGGGGTCAGTAACTTTAAAGCTGGGGTCTGTCACTTTAAAGCTGGGGTCTGTAACTTTAAAGCTGGAGTCTGTAACTTTAAAGCTGGGGTCTGTAACTTTAAATCTGAGGTCTGTCACTTTAAAGCTGGAGTCTGTAACTTTAAAGCTGGGGTCAGTAACTTTAAAGACCACACTAGAACTCAGCAATAAACCTACCCAGACCAGAGAGACCAGAGAGAGACTAGAGAGAGACCAGGGAGAGACCAGAGAGAGACCAGGGAGAGACCAGAGAGAGACCAGAGAGAGAGAGAGAGAGACCAGAGAGAGAGAGAGAGAGAGAGACCAGGGAGAGACCAGAGAGGGACCAGAGAGAAAACAGAGAGAGACCAGAGAGAGACCATAGAGAGACCAGAGAGAGAGAGACCAGAGAGAGACCAGAGAGAGACCAGGGAGAGACCAGAGAGAGACCAGGGAGAGACCAGAGAGAGAGACCAGAGAGAGAGAGACCAGAGAGAGAGACCAGAGAGAGAGACCAGAGAGAGACCAGGGAGAGACCAGAGAGAGACCAGAGAGAGACCAGAGAGAAAACAGGGAGAGACCAGGGAGAGACCAGGGAGAGACCAGAGAGAGACCAGAGAGAGACCAGAGAGAGAGACCAGAGAGAGACCAGGGAGAGACCAGAGAGGGACCAGAGAGAGAGACCAGAGATAAACCAGGGAGAGACCAGAGAGAGACCAGGGAGAGACCAGAGAGAGACCAGAGAGAGACCAGAGAGAGACCAGAGAGAGACCAGAGAGAGACCATAGAGAGACCAGAGAGAGTGAGACCAGAGAGAGACCAGAGAGAGACCAGGGAGAAAACAGAGAGAGACCAAGGAGAGACCAGGGAGAGACCAGAGAGAGACCAGAGAGAGACCAGAGAGAGACCAGAGAGAGAGAGAGAGAGACCAGAGAGAGACCAGAGAGAGACCAGGGAGAGAGAGACCAGTGGGAGACCAGAGAGAGACCAGAGAGAGACCAGAGAGAGACCAGAGAGAGAGAGAGAGAGACCAGAGAGAGACCAGGGAGAGAGAGACCAGTGGGAGACCAGAGAGAGACCAGAGAGAGACCAGAGAGAGAGAGACCAGAGAGAGACCAGAGAGAGAGAGAGAGAGAGACCAGAGAGAGACCAGAGAGAGAGAGACCAGTGGGAGACCAGAGAGAGACCAGAGAGAGACCAGAGAGAGACCAGAGAGAGACCATAGAGAGACCAGAGAGAGAGAGACCAGAGAGAGACCAGAGAGAGACCAGGGAGAGACCAGAGAGAGACCAGAGAGAGACCAGAGAGAGAGACCAGAGATAAACCAGGGAGAGACCAGAGAGAGACCAGAGGGAGACCAGAGAGAGACCAGAGAGAGACCAGAGAGAGACCAGAGAGAGACCAGAGAGAGACCAGAGAGAGACCAGATAGAGACCAGAGAGAGACCAGTGAGAGACCAGAGAGAGATTGGAGAGGGACGTTTATGTCACATTAACTTCTCTGTTGTGCTTTCACTCCAGGCTGTGATTTGGGCGAGGCCTCCGTCTCCATGGAAACAGGCCCCTCCCCCTCGTGTGCCTGGGAAAGTTTTGCGTGGGGCGTGGAGGCTGAGCAGGGCCGGCTCCGAGAGATGAGAGGAGGGGGGGCTCCCAGGGGCCCCACCCTCACTCAGCCAATCCGCTCTCAGCCCAAAGAGGTAAATATTGACTCACAGGGCAGAGAGAAAAAACAGAGAGAAAGACAAGAGAGAGACCAGTGAGAGACCAGAGAGACCAGAGAGAGACCAGAGAGAGACCAGAGAGAGACCAGTGAGAGACCAGAGAGAGACCAGTGAGAGACCAGAGAGAGACCAGAGAGAGACCAGTGAGAGACCAGAGAGAGAGACCAGAGAGAGACCAGAGAGAGACCAGAGAGAGACCAGAGAGAGACCAGAGAGAGACCAGTGAGAGACCAGAGAGAGACCAGAGAGAGACCAGAGAGAGACCAGAGAGAGACCAGAGAGAGACCAGTGAGAGACCAGAGAGAGACCAGAGAGAGACCAGAGAGAGACCAGAGAGAGACCAGAGAGAGACCAGAGAGAGACCAGAGATGAGCATGAGCCTGGACTCCTGCCGCTGGTTCTGTTCTGTGGAGGCAGATAAACGTCTGCTTTATCCAACCCCTTTTCAAACTGTGTCACTGTCTGTTTTAGATTGAATTAAATACATAAATAAATACTCTTCCGCTCGGTCTCATTCCATTAGTTTCACAACTGAAGGTTTTATCTTTAATCTGTTTTATCTGCTCTTTCTGAAGTACTGATGATTCATTTTAAAGTTTTGTTTTGTACAGCACTCTGAGGTTCCTTGAGTATGAACTGTGTGCTATATAAATAAACTTGCCCTGCCTTCACAAAATGCTCTCTAATGTGTAAAATGTCTTCTTCAAGCATGAGTGACTGGAGGTATGGAGTTATGGGGCCCCCAGGGGGAGTTCCGGCCCTGGTTCCCGTCAGTCTAGGACCGGCCCTGCGCGCGCAACCACCTGCTGCTGCCGGAGCGCGCTCAGACCTGTCCCAGAGAGAGAGGAGCAGGAGAGGGAGAGGCACAGGGGAGAGAGAGGGTGAGAGGCAGAGGGAGAGTCCACACACTGAGGAAGAGATTCACAGACCGAGGAAGAGGACAAAAGAGCCGAAGATCGCTTGACAGATCGCTGCAAAGACCTAGAAAGCATCTGCAACAAGAGGATATCCCCAGATTCCCGCAGCACCTGGAGGATCTTCGCCCACAGAACTCCCGGGACATGGAGGAAGAGGCGACCAGCGTGGGGAGAAGCAGCACACCCGCCGCGAGCTCCCACGGACCCGCAGACGCCGCTCAGACCGCAGCAGGAAGCACGGATGACCTGCTCGTGCCCAGCTTCAGCCCGAGCTCCGAACCGTCCTCACCCACGCCCGCGGGCACGAGCACGCTCACCCGCCTCAGCATGTCTCTGAGAGGGGGGACAGGTCAGGGCCCCCCGGCGAGCCCCACGGAGAGAGGCCAGGTGAGAGAGACCAGAGAGAGAGACCAGAGAGAGACCAGAGAGAGACCAGAGAGAGACCAGAGAGAGACCAGAGAGAGACCAGAGAGAGACCAGAGAGAGACCAGAGAGAAACCAGAGAGAGACCAGAGAGACACCAGAGAGACACCAGAGAGACACCAGAGAGACACCAGAGAGAAACCAGAGAGAGACCAGAGAGAGAGAGAGAGAGACCAGAGAGAGAGAGAGAGAGAGAGAAAGAGAGAGACCAGAAACCAGAGAGAAAGACCAGAGAGAGACCAGAGAGAGAAACCAGAGAGAAACCAGAGAGAGACCAGAGAGAGACCAGAGAGAGAGACCAGAGAGAGAAACCAGAGAGAAACCAGAGAGAGACCAGAGAGAGACCAGAGAGAAACCAGAGAGAGACCAGAGAGAGAGAGACCAGAGAGAGAGAGAGAGACCAGAAACCAGAGAGAGAGACCAGAGAGAGAGAGAGAGAGACCAGAGAGAGACCAGAGAGAGAGAGAGAGACCAGAGAGAGACCAGAAACCAGAGAGAAAGACCAGAGAGAAATAGAGAGAGAGAGACCAGAGAGAAACCAAAGAGAAACCAGAGAGAGAGACCAGAGAGAGACCAGTGAGAGACCAGTGAGAGACCAGGCCCGCAGTACAACCAGTCAGGCAGGGAACCATCACAGTACACTATATATATAGGCTCAGGGCAGACAACACGTCTCCAATACAGATTTTAAAGCTGGGGTACGTAACTTTCAGACCACAACAGAACTCTGTATTAAACCCATGTCTCTAAAGTCAGACCTAAACTTAAGATCTGAGCAGAGATCTCAGTGATCCACGCTGCATGAGTAGCAGTAGTAGTAGTAGTAGCAGTAGTAGTAGTAGTAGTAGTAGCAGTAGTAGTAGTTGCAGTAGTAGTGATAGCAGCCGCAGTAGTACTACTGTTGTCAATCTGGAGAGACTCGAACACATAGCCTTCTGCAAACATTTTAACATAAACTTGTAGATATTGTAGATTTATTGTTTCTGTTCATTTACTGCTGAACAGAAGGTTTGAGTTGGTGCTTAGACTCTGTTGGTGAGAGAGAGGAGAGGCAGAGCTGGGTTAGAGTTAGGGAGGAGATGGGGAGGAGGGGGGTTGCTGCATGATGGAAGCTTCTGTACGCTGCAGCTGTGATGGACACGACAGAACTGAGCAGTGACTGAACCTCTGCTGTAGATTCAGCAGGAGCAGTAGTAGTTATAGTATTAGTAGTCATTACAGTAGTAGTAGTAGTAGTAGTAGTAGTAGTAGTAGTAGTAGTAGTAGTAGTAGTAGTAGTAGTAGGCGGCACGGTGGCTGAGTGGATAGCACTCTCGCCTCTCAGCAAGAAGGTCCTGGGTTCGAATCCCGGTTGGACCAGGGCCTTTCTGAGGGGAGTTTGCATGTTCTCCCCGTGTCTGCGTAGGTTTCCTCCGGGTGCTCCGGTTTCCCCTACCACTAAAAATATGTACAATAGGTCTGCCATGTGCCTCCTGTACTGGCCCCACTCCCAAAAATAACAATTGTAAACCGCTTTGAGACTCCGATGTGCAGTGAAAAGGCGGTATATAAATAAAGATTACTTACTTACTACTTACTTACTAGTAGTAGTAGTAGTAGTAGTAGGGTCGACAGTGGCTCAGTTGGTTGAGCCTCGGCCTGGGAGGGGCGGAGGGGCCGATGGCACAGACTGGTTGCCTCGCTTCTGTCAGTGTGCCCCAGGGCAGCTGTGGCTTCAGTAGTTTATCACCACCGTGTTTGGAGAGAATGAATAATTATGTGAAGCTTTGAGCGTCCAAAAAAGCGCTGAATAAAACGTATGCATTATTATTATAGTACTACAGTACAGTAATACTACAGCACAGTAGTACTGCAGTACTTCAGTACAGTAGTACTTCAGTACTGTAGTACTTCAGCACAGTAGTACTACAGTACTGCAGTACTACTGTGCTGTAGTACTTCAGCACAGTAGTACTTCAGCACAGTAGTACTTCAGCACAGTAGTACTTCAGTACTGTAGTACTTCAGCACAGTAGTATTTCAGTACTGTAGTACTTCAGCACAGTAGTACTTCAGTACTGTAGTACTTCAGCACAGTAGTATTTCAGTACTGTAGTACTTCAGCACAGTAGTACTTCAGTACTGTAGTACTTCAGCACAGTAGTACTTCAGCACTGTAGTACTTCAGCACAGTAGTACTTCAGCACAGTAGTACTGTACCGTAGTACTGCAGTAGTAACAGTCCCTCTCTCCTCAGGTCAGTGCCATCACCGTCATGGCGCTCCTGGATAAGCTGGTCCTCATGTTGGGAACCGTGCAGGAGAACCAGCAGCGGATGGAGGCGCGGCAGGAGGAGCTGGAGGGCGCCGTGCGAACGGTGCAGAGCGACGTGGTGCGTCTGTCCAGGGCTCACCTCAGCACCTCCTCCAACGTCAACAAACTCCTGGAGAGATCTCGCAAAGTCAGCGGAGGAGTCAAGGAGGTCAAGGAGCGGCTGGAGAAACAGGGAGGACAAGTGAAGAGGCTGGAGAACAACCACGCCCACCTGCTGAAGAGGAACCACTTTAAAGTGCTCATCTTCCAGGTACCAGGGACCAGGGACCAGAGAGACCAGAGAGACCAGAGAGACCAGGGACCAGAGAGACCAGAGACCAGAGAGACCAGAGAGACCAGGGACCAGAGAGACCAGAGAGACCAGAGACCAGGGACCAGAGAGACCAGGAGCTATCGCACTGCGTTCAGGTGTTTTTCTGTGACTTTATCTGACAAATTAAGAGAGCTGGATATAAGTGTGTTATGGTCTTAAGATGATGAGAAGTGGCTGAACACCTCCCTCTGCTGGTGGAGGCGGGGACGTGCATTCTGGAAGTTTACGTACAAAGATTGCGTCCTACAGTGCATTATGTGTGTTTGAGGAACAGATTTGGACGTGAGTGTTCGTCATAGTGTTGGAGAAAAGTGTCTTTGAAGGCCTCTGATTGGTCGATCCTTATAAGGCTCAGGTCTGGATTTAGACCATCACATACAAACACAGGATCACAGAGAGAGAGAAGTAACACAAACGTTACTGAGCTAGAGAAGTTTACTTTAACATAGAAGTCAATAGGAGCCAAACTTTACCATGAGCACTTCCCTATTGGAATTCATTGAGCTAGCGGGTTAGCATGAAGCTAGCAGGTTAGCATTGTCCATCTGTTTACAGGCTGTGGTTGGAGAAAAGAGAGAGTATTGTGTGCGCTTTAACAGTCTCCAAAAGTCCGTTGCTCTTTCTCCTGGTTCTCCTTTGTTTCTCCTCGGTGTGTGAGCGTGTGTGTGTGTGTGTGTGTCTCTGTGTGTGTGTGTGTGTGTGTGTGTGTCTCTGTGTGTGTGTGTGTGTGTGTGTGTGTGTGTGTCTCTGTGTGTGTGTGCGTGTCTCTGTGTGTGTGTGTGTATCTCCCAGTGGCTGTAATAATATCCTGCCTTATTCACAACAGTAACTAAAGCTGCGTCAGGTGCATTTAGAGGCGGTCAGACCGGTTTGGACCTGGATCCTAGAGAGAGAGAGAGAGAGAGAGAGAGAGAGAGAGAGAGAGAGAGAGAGAGAGAGAGAGAGAGAGAGAGAGAGAGAGAGAGAGAGAGAGAGAGAGAGAGAGAGAGAGAGGAGAGAGAGAGAGAGAGAGAAGAGAGAGAGAGAGAGAGAGAGAGAGAGAGAGAGAGAGAGAGAGAGAGAGAGAGAGAGAGAGAGAGAGAGAGAGAGAGAGAGCAGTATTTGTAGCAGTAATAGTAGTAATAGCAGTAGTAGCAGTAGTAGCAGTAGTAGTAGCAGTAGTAGTAGTAATAGTAGTAATAGTAGTAATAGTAGTAATAGTAGTAATAGTAGTAATAGTAGTAATAGTAGTAATAGTAGTAATAGTAGTAATAGTAGTAATAGTAGTAATAGTAGTAATAGTAGTAATAGCAGTAGTAGCAGTAGTGGGTGAATAATTGATGATTCTTCTGGTGCCTGGTAAAGCCATGTTCCAGCTTCTTCTCTCCGTCTGAGATGCAGAACAACTTCTTTCAGTTGTTATCAGTCTTAACAAAGCACTAAAATGATCTCTCTCTGGTCCCTCTCTGGTCTCTCTCTTGTCTCTCTCTGGTCTCTCTCTGGTTTCTCTCTGGTCTCTCTCTGGTCTCTCTCTTGTCTCTCTCTCTTGTCTCTCTCTGGTCTCTCTCTGGTCGCTCTCTGGTGTCTCTCTGGTGTCTCTCTGGTCTCTCTCTGGTCTCTCTTTGGTGTCTCTCTGGTCTCTCTCTGGTCTCTCTCTGGTCTCTCTCTGGTCTCTCTCTGGTCTCTCTCTGGTCTCTGGTTTCACGATGGTTTCTTCTACTTTTTGTCTTGTTTTCTTCCTGTGACATGTGGTGTTACTGTAAAAAAACTGAATCTGAATTTAGCAGCAGTGCTAGTAGTGGTGACACATGTATAAGATAGACCTGTGTCTGTGAGGTTTGAGCGGTGTCTGCAGGGTCTGGAACTCCTCTGTTTACTCTGTTACACACAGACACACACACACACACACACACACACACAGACACACACACACAGACACACACACAGACACACACATACACGTTTTTGTTACCTGGTGGGTCCCTTTGACAGGGCCGTTCAGAATGGGACCCATAGACATAATCTTTTTTTACCAAGACTTTAAGTAATACAAAACAGTCAATAGAAACCAAACAACTATTTTAAAGGAATTTTATTTTAGATTTTGTTTTCGAATTGCAGTGATTCTATTTTTGACATAGAATTTAATGCCACTCCATGTCCGATGTCTAAGGTCATCTGGTGAGGCATTAATGCAGGCCAGGCAGTGAGACTTCCCAGGGACCTTTCCAGTCTGTATGAAAGGTGTCATGGTCTTCTCCACAGCCTTCACCTCAGATGCAGACCATGGCTTTCTTACACGTTCTAGGGAGAGAAATAAAAATATATTAGCAATATACACTCCCAGGGTTAGGACCAAGCAGCCTGGCTGTAATCCCCCACCTGGTACACTTACCAGAAGGGGCACTGCCACTACCATGGGGTGCATCTGGATGAATGGTTGAAGGTTCTCCGCTTGAAGTTTCTTTTAGCCCGTCCGTTTGTGAGAGGATCTCTACTGCTCTCCCTGTCGCACAGAAAATAAAAATACAAGTGGCCTTTAGGGGAAAAAAATCATACATATTTTAATAATATCAAGAATTACCTTCAGGCTCAATTTGTATCTGGTCGAGGCTCTTTCCTTCGAATTCCGTCACTCTTCCCTGCTCCATGGCCATCAACACTTTGCTGATTTTGGCCAGCTCCAGTGTCCCCTCTGGTAGTCTGTAATATTGTCTGTGGATGCGAATGTCATGGCCGAGGAAGTTGGCAAGTATGTCCATCTCATTCTCTTTCATATTGAGAACTGTAGACATAGTAGCTATGTGCTTTCTAAGTTTGGTTGAGGATAGCATCTCTGGATGCACCGCACCACATTCTTTGGCTACCTGGCGTAGGGAGTCTGATCCCCTGATGTGGGTGTCTGCGCGCCCGGGCGGGAAAAGAAGTATGGGTTCTGGTCAGAGATGGAACAGGCCCTTCTGTTCTCCACCAGCACCTCCATCCAAGCAATCATTTCAGGAGTCAAAAGAACCGGCACTTTCCCACTTCTTTTCCCTTTAATTTCAATGCGTTGAAAATGCTGACACAGCTTTTTCTCAAGTTGGGACAGTCCCAGAGCAATGTCAGAATGGATCCCAGTCTTACTTCTTAAGGTAAAGGCTGTCAGTGGCATCTTTGAAACCTCACCTTCCCTTCTTCGATTGAAAATGATGACCTCACAAAGAGTCAAAACTGCCAGTTTAGACCAATGCTTAGACGTTGGCTCACTTATTAGGGTTTGCACATATTCAGGTCGACATACCTCAATATGTGCATGCATGGCTCTAACGTCCTCAGTCAGAGGGAGCAGGTCCGGAGTGTTCCACTTGGCTTGCCGGAGGGTCTGTAGGGCAGCAGAAGAAACACGTCCCACCTCTTCTCAAAAAGCAGCCGGCTTCGTTGGAGGTTTTTAATAAATAGTTCATCAACACAATGCTCCATTTTTGAGTCACATTCAAGAATATCTGCTAGCTTTCTGAGGCTATGGCCGAGTTTGAGGGCCAAGGATGGAGTCTTGTATTGATTTGTTTCCTCATCATATCCAGCCACAGACCTGACTGCATCAATCACATGGTTAAAGTTGGAAGGAATAAAGAAATCCTTAATTGTTTTCAGTTTCCCTGCGGTTTTTGCTTCGTTAATTAACCTACCGACTTCTCTCATTTTCTGCCTAATGTAATCATGCTTAGTCTTATCATGCCCGTGTTTTAAGTACAGGTGCTCTCCGAGTCTCAGAATCCCCTTTTCTGCTTTGACACCCGTGACCTCATCCTGATGCATTGCCCAAATTAAAGACCACAGCTTTTTGCGGATGCCCTCCGGTACAGGCTGGGCTAGGGAGCAGAGGGACTGGACCCTACTTCTACCTGGTTTAGCCTGGTTTAGCCTGGGCATCTTTCTGTGAAAGCCGGCACCTGGCCACATGCCTCCACAGCGACTTTCGCTTAAGCAATGCCCCACAGTCTATACAGTGCAAAAAACTCACTGGATTTAACTGGGGAATTTGGCTGTTTAGCTGGGACTAAAGTTCCAATGCCGGCCTTTAAAACCTCAAAATTGTGCTCACGGTTTCCACTATTCCTGATCAAATCAAACTGAAGTTTACGTGCTTTAGATTTCACAGGTAGAGCCAATGCTCTGGCTACGTCACTTTCATTTCCATGTTTTCTAGTCAAATGACGGGACATTTTGTGGCAGGACATTGAACAGTAGAGGCAGAAGTGTCTCTTGCTGTAAACTCGCCCCCCATTTTTCTTCTTTTGCAGCTGCATGATAACAATCTTATTTGCCTTTGGTTCGTCACTTTCCGAGTCTTGAAGAAAAGTGTTTTTGATTTTTCTTTTTCCATACTTTTTTACAGGTTTCTTCTTGACAGTTAAATCGTCAGAATCTGAGTCGACTTCATCAATTAGGGACTCTTGACTAAGCTGCACAAACAACAAATAATTTGTAATCATTCTATATAACAATTTGAAGTCATGACTTGTAGTCAGCACTTACCAGTGGTTTGTAAGCGTGCGCTTCAGTGTGCTGCTCTGTGATTGGCTGCAGCCTAATGAACCACACACTTGCACCTTTTTCTAGCCTGACACCTGATTTCCTCTGTTGTGCTGCTCCATGATTGGCTCCAGCCTCTGTTGTGCTGCTCCATGATTGGCTCCAGCCTGCTGGACTGAAATTGCCCCAGTGTGCCCCTCCTTGATATCCCGCAACCCACCACCAGGGTTCCGACACATAACACACTTTTTTCAGGAAAGTAAACCTCCAGGGGTCCTTTCCATATTTTTACAGAGACTGCATAAGGACCGTTAGAAAAGCATTACCCATTGATTATTAAGCTTGGACCAGTGGGGTCCAGTGTTCGGGCCCCACCACGTAAAACCAGTCCCCATGACGTGAGCGGAATCTCAGGTTATGGAACCCACCAGGAGTTGAAA